GAACAGACCATGACCGCAGCGGGGAGGACCCCCACCCACCACACACACACTCAAAGGTCCACTCTGTATCTTAAGTCCGAAAAGATTTTTCTTCAAAAGGTGGCCAGATTTGTATCACGAGGACTGGAATCCATCCTCTTTGTCTCTGATTATCGGCACTTTTGTTTTGTCATTATATTTTACCTGCGTAGAGAGCCGTTGTAAAAAAGAAAAAAAAATCATCACAAATTAGTACGCTTGTCACGCGATTTTTGTCAAGAGATTTTTTTTACAAAGAATATGGAAAGTAACTCTACCTCTAATATTGAGCTTTAGCTTATTCTACTTGGAGCCATGTATGGATTTTTTTGCGTTCTTTCGCGGAATAGCCAGTATTAAGTTCCAGGAAGTGAAGATATTTTAGAACGTCTCCCTTAAGGTCGCCATCTGTCTCCTGTTCACATCCGCGCATACGTTAACGCTGGTACTCTTCACCCTCGTACGAAATGCGGTCGTCAGCCGGCCTGATGGGCGTCCAATTTTCCCGCTTAATCCGCCCGTGATTGCCGAACCTTTGTATTCTTTAAAGACCCTCGATGAAGCGCCGTTAAAAGGGAGACTGGCTGCTGCCGTGATGGGGAAACTTGCACTTGCTCGTCCCCGATGTCCTCCTACCGCGTCCTGACTACCAACCGCGCATATGGAATGCCCAGCTTCTACCCTGTCTCTCTAATATACTCTCCAAGCAGAGGTTGATGGGGAAAGATCGTTACCCTCTTATATATGCCCCCCCCCCCCTTTTTGTCGCTACCCCCACCACCTTGGGTGGCCAATTGGGCCCTCTCTGACCAATGGATACTGCCTGGCCAATTTGATACTGTCTTTTTGGCCACCCTAGGATCTTTTTGGAGATTATCTTCAATAATGATTTCTCTGAAGTACAGTATACCTTATCACATTCAGTGCCATCGCTCATGACAAAAAAACTGTTTAAACTTTAAGCAATTCACCAAGAATATTTTTCACTCGACTCCCCGAACGAAATTAATGAATACAAATGCAGGTCCTGTCCTTAGTGCTGAACTTGCTAAATACTAGTAATTCCTTTTATCGCCGTTCTTTCACGAGAGGAAAAACAGCATGAAATTTCGTCTGATAGAGATGTAGAAAAAAAGGACAGATATCTGTGACTTCAAGCAAAACGTGGTGAATCGTGAATATGCATGCCGTGTGGAGTATGCGAGGCGGAGGGGCGTTTGATACAACGCATGTGTGGGCTATTCAATTAAAAGGCCCCAGAGGGAGTCAATTAAAGAATTCTGACGATTTGCCAGCAACACGTTCCAAGGTTTTCTGCCGTTTCGTGTACATCGCGTCGTTTCTTATCGCTGTGATAAGCTGAACTCCTATATTTTGGAGATTGGTTTTACAAGTTCTAAGAAAGGCTGGGCTTTCCTGCCTCCTCGTCTTATCTTCCCGGCACCTTGATCGAGGCGTCACACTGTCTCCCTCCCCAGCCGTCTTCCTTTTTCTTTTTTCGATTGAAGATTTTCCCACTACACGCCTTATATTTTTATACTTAAACGGCCTCTTACACTTGGTTCTCTTAACCCATCAATATTTTTCCAATGCACTATACAAATAAAACAGGTGTGAAACACTGGCGCTCCCAATGGAAACCTTACGAAAACAATTTCTGGAGTTAAATGAACACATAGTTTTGTTCCTCAAACGCTTGGTCCGCTATCCTATAAGTTAAGATAAAAATATATCAGTTCAATTCATAATTATCCGTGCGAGTTTTCCTCAGGTAATGTCTCAAATGCTACTTCATGTGTGTGAAAATGCACTGGCATCCTCTGGCAGGAACTATCATCTGCGACACAAATGAAATGTGCGAAGAAAACGTTTTGTGGTAAACAGTTTCTATATCGTTCCTGACGACATGCAATAGTCTCACTCTTAACAAAATACATTGTTTCCTTTTGTCCTGTAGTATATTCCTCCTCATGGATCTTCCGCCGAAGTCTCCACGTCAGCTCCCCCCTCTGCGCAGACATAATGGTCGATCCATCTCTCCCCTTCACTCGAGCGGGAGAAGGGTCTCCCCCGTCGCAGTGGCAGATGGTAGCGTCTGTGCCACACTTACCACGGGTCGCTCCTGGCGGGAAGATCTCCGATCCGGTTCTGAGACGGAAGGTGGGAGACAATGCCCCGCTGGGTCGTGCGGGTGTAAGGCGGCTCTTCCGCACTGCACGGTGCGACACAAGAGCTGGGCGACCGAAAAGTCTCGCTCCGTCGGAAGGAAAGATACAGGCGTGGATTTCCACTTCGGACTGGAGCCCGGCCGGGAAGGCTGGCCGGGCGAGAGGGAAGGACAGGCCGGTGGGAAGCGGCACGAGTCCCGCTTTCCCAAGATGGGAAGCTCCGAAGGTGAGTTTAGCAGCCGCACTCATACTCTTCCCAGCATTTACGCGCCATATGGTAAAGTAGTATCCAGGCTGAAACTTGTTTCATAGCACCACACCTTCACTGAAGGAGTCTCGTATCGTCCTTGTCTGTTTATCGAAGTGTTCTTCTGTAGAAGATCTTCCCCGCACCTGTTCCTGTACCCTTCTTTTGTCGCGCAGTGACACGTCACACGACCGACGCGCAGCTGTATTTACGTTCGATAGGATGGAATGGGCAGGGGTCAATGACCTCTTGTCAGACCCACTGTAGTATAGCAGAAGCCCGATCAAACTTCGACCAAACAGCCAATACCTCGTCCTTGGGAGTTGCCCGTGCATTTAGCCCCACTCTCTGAACATCGATCACACCAGAGATAATATGGAGAGGCATGGTATCGTCCTTGATACTACAGTCGCCGGTACGTGTATTCGAACATGATAATGGACTTTTAATATTAATACAATGATTGCTATAAGTTTCTATATCCATTTTCAGTGAAATGAACGTGATATTTGTGCGATACGTGAGAAATATATTACTGTCTTTTTTATACCTTACATATCAACGCCTACGAACCTTTTACTGCAAGGTGCTTTTACTGCATGTGCTTCGGTCTGCGTCGCCTGTGCTGGTGGCACTGTTTCCAGTGAACGTGGCTGTCCTTTTGGGGTCTTTATGAGGATGAGCTACCCTTAACGCCTCCATATGATATATCCTAAAGCCACAGGAATAATCGAGCTTCAGGTTGCGAACAGCAGTGACATTTCGATCGGAATGGCGTTGTTTGTTTTTACAATATTTTGTATCCATGCCGCATACCTCTCATCGTGCTTTGTCAAGTTCTTGACAGGTGCGCTGTTTTTTTACGGGTACGCTTCATGGAGCCAAATATAAATATATATACTTCGCAATTGTGTATTACTGTATACTATTTCCCTGTGTTAACAATGGCCTTAGGCAACAGCACAGGCATTGGCGCAAGTCTTCGCGATAATAGACATATGAGGGCCGTTTCTCAACGCAAAGGACGTCAGGGATAAGTGGTTTTGAAGCGTACCTAATCCAGATTTGGTATCGGTCCAATTTTCATCCCCATCTTTGTCGTTCTTTCTTTACTGCGATAGACCTGATCCAAAAGCAATGTCACCTGCCTGATTAATTACTTTGTGTGTGTACAGAAAAAATAAGGCCATACAGCATTATGCATTGAGAGAATTTGACATCATTTCTCATCTATCACTAATGGACCATTAGAAAAGCGATCTCACAGAAGATATCCTATTTCTTACCATTTTGATTATACTGGTTTGTAAAGACAGCATGATTGCAATGTCCATAGATTATACTTCCCATGACCTACGCTCCTGAGGCCTACGGCAGTGCTCTGCCATGATGGTGGTAAGGTCCCGCATCCCCGTGTTTAAGCGGAACAGACAAGTCTTGCCGCCCCGAGCGCAACACACATCATTTCAACGTCTTCCACAGTCTGATATGTTCTCCATCACTTAACCCTGCTGATTTGTAGGCTGAGGGCGAAATGGGAACAGCACACCTAGGCATGAAGAGTTTATTAAATTAAGCCCGAGGAAATGTGCGGAAAGGAATCTGAAAGATTCTCAGACGTCATCCCGTATTTCAGATCAGGAAATATTCTGGCGAATTCTAGTAGATTCTTTCATTCACTGATCCACATTTCAGACTACACAAAATACGAACGGTGAGACGTAAAAAAAGAAGAGACCTTTGACTGGGCCTCTATGATAGCGTTAGTTGTTGGAAACTATATAGCTATTGACTGGGGTATTTATTTATTAATCAATCAATCTTGGGTTCATATGGGTGGTCCCTTCAGTCGAATGGTGCTGACTGCCGAGGGAGTACATTACAGGTAAACAGGATGGAAACGTAGGACGTCATAAATGATACAAGTGAAATAACATGCAATTTTACATATTCATTGTACACTCGAATCTTTTATACAGAGTACTAGTATATGAACAAGGATAAGGTAAATCATAAGTTAACAAAAAGTAAAACCGAATCTTCAAAACCAATTCATTGAACAAAATCTAAATCATCATTCATTCAGGTCAGAGGTCAAATTTTAATTAAAGCTCGTTTAACTGAATTAACGGGGTGATTGTTGATTTTAGTGTTGTTTTAATGCCGTCTGATAATCGTATTATTGTATAAATGCTAAATTTTATTCATCAAAGTTATTCCTTTTATACTTATATGATAATTGACCCATTGTTTTATTTTGAATTGAACTCTGAAAATATTTGTAATCGGAATCCGCAATTCAGCCTGCGGGCTGCGATGGATTTGTATGTCAATAAACCATTCATCATCATCATCATCATCATGTTTTTTAAGCGAGTTACTGTATGCAATATGTCCCCTGACCCGTCTAGATGTATAGCGGCTGGTTGGCGTCATAGCTAGCTGTGGATATGCCTTACTTATTCTCTCATCATGTAACGACTCCAGGAGCTTATTGTCATGCTCGAGCAATGAAGACCTTTCTGTGGGCTGCGCGCCGATGTAATTTGAGTCCTTTGAAGCGCCAAATTAATTGGGCGTCTTTGAAAAGCGAGACAGAAAGACTTGTACCAACACCGATAGTACTGACATCGCGATTTATGAGAAAAAAAAAGTATCTCGGCAATCATCCCCATAGTGCACCCGCAACCAAGCAAAATAGAACCTGTAATCCTGGCGTGCTTCACATGTTGTCGGCACTTTTCTTCCCTTTCACCGGGACTCCGTAATTGGACGGTCCCACCGACAAAGTCCATCCGCGGGCTCCGTAAATACAACCATCAATACCGGACCGAGAGAGATCCAGATATATAACATATATTTCACGGCACTCTATAATTTCAGGTAATCAACCAGCTATAGCAGTACGTAGTCACAAATCGATCACGCGGGACAACAGCGGATTTCACAATAATTGCCCCGTACTTTGGGCTGTGAGACGGATATCAGTGACTAATAGTGCCCCTGATAAAATACACGATAATACAAAATACATCAACGGCAACTTGAAAAATTCTCTAAAGAGTCAGACGTTTCAGAAGATAGCACCCGGTATCTCTTTCGTACGTGACTGAGAATCACTGATGATGAGAGATAATGGATGCCATTCTCAATCACTGATGTAAGATAGTGAATGCTCTCTGAAACGACTGGCTCTTATATGCAGAAAATTTATTCAGTTACTTGATTTAAGTTGCTTTATGTATGCTCTACGTGGATGTCTAACGACTGCCTTGATCGACACACCTGTGTGTGGTGTCATCAAGCATGTTAAGTATGAGAACCATCATCTGTATGCATTATACCGCAGACAATCACATCTTTCCATGTGAATTTCATAAATTAAGCTTTTGAAACTTAATTGGATTAGATGTTGGAAATGCCATGGCCTGTAGCTGTATCCGTTGAACATTACATAGGTAGATGTCTGCCATCTCCCAAGAGTCCTACGGAGGGTACATGCCCACCTCCCCACGTACATCATTACTTCAACTTAATTACACGGCATCGCGAAGCGGTGAGCTCTCCGCGGTGCGAGCTTTTGGACACCCGTGGGGGTACATCATTGCCGCCTCCTGCGTACTACTCCGGCATACATACACGCACGGTGATGACATGTCACTATCCTGTCATGCTGACGGAAGACTGTGGGGTGCAGATGTTATTTTCACGAGCGCGACTGACTGACTGGCATCACCATGCTTTTATTGACTTACCAGATATCTCCATGGCTCGCAGGGAAGATACGGTCTGGGTAACGTACTGTCAAGATGAAGACACCGTGTGTGTGTACTTCAGAATGTTGCTGATTTTGCAGTTAAGATCACCATTTATTCTAAACATCAGTACTGTTTTCAATCACAAATAAATCTCATTAGTCTACATCACCAAACCACCCGAGACCTCCTTAGCGTCAGGTGGAAATGGCAGGCGTTCGTGTACAACTAATTTTTCTGCTAATCACACGACTCCTTGAGGGTTCAGATTATGGTGAGATATCAATTTCCTGAATTAATGTCGCCGCCAGATAAGGCACAAACACAGTTGAGTGGTAGAATGATTATCATGTACATGTATGTTGTTTACTGTTGCGTTACTGCTATCTAAATGGCTTTGAGATCTGACGAAATTACCCTATAGTGATTGTACCTTTGATAGTATGTCACAAGTTTTTAGATTAATGTAGATTTTATGTGAATTGCTTCTTCTTAATCGTGTGTACTCTATAATGGCTAATATATAAGCAAAACGGGCCCATCGTTTTCGCTATCTGCTCACACATTTTCTGCTGTGGCGGTTCTAAAGATCACTTGAGGAGTTGTCTGAGTACTGTGGTGAATTGGGACTCGTGTGTTCCATAATCATCAGGCTTGCAGCTTAGTGATTTTGGTTTCACGGCTGTTTATATCAACCATATCATCTTTAAAGTTCCCGTGCTGATTTGATGGGGGATCGTTCTGAAAATGGGAGGAGGAGATAAGAGGTTCTCATACGCAAATGTATAATGTTTACCTTCGCTTGTGGTCTGATCTGTTAATTCTTACTCAAACACATTCATATATATGGTGACAGGAGTCTAAATCCCTCCTGCCTTAAAATTGCAACATGATGTAACCCAACACTAATTACCATGGTGACAGACTTCTGGTTCAGGTCATTGATCTTATTTGTTTGGAGAAGAAGAAAAGTAATAATAAGAAACAGAGCAAAAACAATATGTTTTCCTTCTGCGAGGGTAAAGATAGTAAGGAACCCATGACGAGAACTTCAGACTGTAACATTGTATCAAGGTGTAGACTACCTTAAGCGACTTTCTGTGATCTTATCTCTGTGATATATAGGGATACAGAATAATTTCTTTACGCCCTGATGGACATTAAGAAATCCAGTCATGACTATTTAGCCGCCCTCCTATGACTGCACAATTATCGCTAATACTG